CAGCTTTGCGGTCCACACACAATCTCTTGCCGCTACTCAGCTGTGCCCATGTAGTGTGAAAACAGCCAGACGGTATGAAAATGAGCATGGCTCTGTGCCTTGGAAACTTGATCGGTGACCAGTAACATTTGACTGTCACATAATTTTTGCATGACCAAATAGTCTTCCTCTTTTGATGTCTTTCAGCCATTTAAAAATGTAAAGACCATTTGTGGCTCTGGGTTATATGAGAACAAGCGATGGGCAGATATGCCCCGCTGGTGACATTTTGTCAACCCCTGGCTTAAATGGTAAGAACACTGTGATAGGCAGAATAATGGTCCCCCCGAAGATGCCCACACCCTAATTCCTGGAACCTGTGACTGTGTTACTTTACATGGCAAAAGGGAATTTGCAGAAGAAATTACATGAAGGATTTTGAGATGGGGAATTTATCCGGAGTGATCCAGGTGGGCCGAGGACAATGGTCCTTTTAAAGGAAAGGGGGAGGCCGGGAGGGGTCGGGGGAGACAGGGACAATGGAAGCAGGTGTGGGCTTGATGGGAGTGCTGGCTCTGAGGATGAAGGAAGAGGACACAAGGCAAGGGGGGCAGCTTCTAGAAACTGAAACAGGGAGGGAGAGAGAACCTACAGAAGGAATGCGGCTTTGCCAGCATCTTGATTTTAGCCCATTGAGATGCACTTTGGACATCTGACTTCCAGGATTAGAAGACAATAAATTTGTGGTGTTTTAAGCCACTTAGTTGGTGGTATTTGTTACAAGAGACAGGAAACTCGTAGAGACACTAACTTAGGAACTGGTGGCCCAGTACCGTCTTTGTGGCCACCTGCACAGTGTTTCTTTCTGGGCCTCAGTTTCTGCACCTGTCAGAGGGAGCGGGGCGTATAATGGTAGGATCAACGCTCACAAAGTTGTTCAAAGAATGAACTGAGGTCAACTGCGTGATATTTTAAAAGAGTGCCTGGCACAGGGCGAACAGGTCAGTAACTGGAGGCTCTGGGACATTTGGACTTTTCTCATTACTGCTGCGCAGCTTTGCTGCAAAGATCAGCAGGCTCCCATCCTCCAGGGTTTGGAGCAGGCTCATTATCAGAAACCATCAGTATTTGCCTTGCACCTCCCTTCCTCCCTACCCAGTAATTTCAGTGAGAGCTAAATGGAACCCATCAGATGACAGTACCAGTGTTCCCTCTTATATTTCTTAAGTGCCCACTAGGCCAGGCCCTGAGCCAAGCCTACGCCAGGTGCCGCTCTCTGCATCTTTAGTTCCATCTTACAGAGGGATAATTCAAGTTCACACAGCAACATCATGGTTCAGCTGTCCCAGTGGCAGCCACTGATTTCCCTGAGAGCTGAGATTCCCCTAAGTGTCTTCCGTTCCCCAGCCTGGCCTGGTATGCTCCTACCCAGACTCCCTTAGTGGTTCCCACTTACCCATCAGACCTGGAGCGGGGACCCACCGGTTGTTGCTAGGCGACTGAGCAAGCTGCTTCCCCTCCCTGAGCCTTGGTTTCCTCTGCTGTAACATGGGCTGATGACAGGACCTCCAATATGGTGAAGAGCAGGGAGCCAGTGGCTGAAAGGCCCTCCTCTGTTAGCACCAGCTGCTAGTGGCTGCTCCCACTCTGCCAGTCTGGCTGTCATTTAGCTGACACAAGAAACTCTTGGTGCTCCTTTTCTCTCTCCTCCGCCCTCCTTACCAGTCTCACCTCTTAGATGGTAGAAATATGCTCCTGTGTTTTCCCTTCATACTTGTAATCATTTTGAGTTTTTATATGTTTGCATGACTAATCCATGTGGAATTGTTTTTGCTATGTGCAGAGGGTGGAATTAACTTTATTTTCTTCCAAATGCAGTCAAGTCTACTGACTGATTTATCCTTTTTCTGCCAACTGGAAATTCCACATTTGGGGTGTGTAAAAATTCTTTTATGTGTAAAACTTATAGATTATTTTTTAAAATATGCGCACCTGGAAAACTCTAAGATGCATTTTAATATTCAGTCTTAACTACACATTTGACCCTTAAACAACATGGAAGTTAGGGGTGCTGATACCCCACACAGTGGATAACCTGCATGTAACTTGACTCCCCCAAAACTTAACTACTAATAGCCTACTGTCGACCAGCAGCCTTATCGATAACAAGCAGTTGATTAACACGTATTTTGTATGCTACATGTATTATATACTGTGTTCTTACAATAAAGCAAGCTAGAGAAAACATTATTAAGAAAATCACAAGGAAGAGACAATACATTTATGGCACTGTACATATTTATTAAAAAATAGCCACATAAATGGACCCGCACAGTTCAGACCCATTTCGTTCATGGGTCAGCTGTATATACATGGATTATATACTGTGGTTATTCATTCAACAAATACTTCTGGAGAGCCTATTCTATGCCAGGTGCTATGCTGGGTACTGGGGACACTGCCACAGACAAAACAAAAATATAAATCCCTGCCCTTGGGCATGGGAGCAGACAACAAACAATCAATGCATAAATGTGCGACAGACATGTCAGGTAGTGGTAAGAAACAAAAGAAAGTAAGGTGATTTAAAGGTGGGGGAAAGGGTGCTGTTTTAGGTAGGAGGGTCGGAGAAAGCCTCTCGAGGAGGTGCTCTTTGAGCGGAGGCCTGAAGGAGGTGGAGCCACGTGGACTTCCTGGGGAAGACCTTACTAGGTGGTGAAGGGAGTACGTACAAAGGTCCCGAGTCGAGACCATGCCTGGTGAATTTTCAGCGTAACCAGGAGGCCAGTGAGGCTGGAATGAAATGAGCAAAGGTGAGAGGGAGGAGGTGGGGGCTGTGAGGAGACAGCGCCTCGTGGGCTATAGTGAAGAGTCAGGCTTCTCCCCTGAGTGAGGTGGGAGCCACGGAGGGTTTTGGGCAAAGGAAGGATGTGCCCTGACTCAGGTGTTTATAGGCTCCTCTGGCCATGGTGGGAGGAACACAGTGGGGTATAAGGGTGGGAGCTGAGAGACCAGGGTAGTGACACCTGCACTGGTCCAGGCGAGAGATGATGGCCATGTGACAAGGGTTTGGGCCAAGGAGTGAGTGAGCTATGGTTGGATACTGCATAGATTCTGAAGGTAGAGCTGATGTTAAGCAGAGAGCCACCCCAGGTTTCTGGCCTGAGTGCTCTGGAAGACAGTTGCCACTCCTGAGTTGAGGCAGGTCAGGGGACCCTCAGGTAGGGACTTGGATGTGACAGTGCTGAGTGTGAGACGCCCATGAGCACTGTATGTGGGGCACTGGGAGACAGGCATCTCGGGCGTGCAGCTTGGGAGCCAGGCTCTCTGCAGGGACTGCTATTTGGGAATCAGGATGGAGTTGGCTGAAGTCCTGAGCCCACAGGAGTGACCCCAAGAGACCTAGTGTATCTGGGGAGAGAAGAAGCTGCGGCCTGGGCACTCCTCAGACTGCGTGGGGTGGGACTAGTTGGCTTTGCAGCCAGGGACCTCAGGAACCACAGGATGTCTTTAGGGGGCTTGGTCACTCAAGGCCATGGCTTGGAGCCTTGGGCCTTGCCTGTTTGCTGAAGTCTGTGGGCGAGGGGTGAGGCAGGGCCTCCACAGCTCTAGGCCACGGAATGGAGGTGACCTTTCTCTAGGAATGCCGGGTGAGTGATCAAAGCGGGGGTAGGAGTCGGGGTGGGGGTGGGGACTGTGAGGCAGCAGCTTTGATTAGACAGCACCAAGTGTATATGACCGCACTGTATAATCCCATGTTAACTGTATGCCCCACGCTGAATATATATTCCTGCCAGCTACACCCCCATGCCAACTGTTTATGGTTAGCTGTACTGTAAAGTATACAGCTGGCCCCAATGGCTGTTGGGAGATGCAGTGAGACTGAGGGAGTATATGGTTTGCATGGGGGTGGATGGTTTGTGTGGGGGGTCCTGCCAGCTGACCTTGCACCCTCTGCCAGTTGTATACCCCCAGAGTGACTGTACAACTTCATAGGGACTATACATCTCCACCCCTACTGTATACCCCACATTGATTAGCACCTCATTGTCTACCTCCATGTCAGCTCTACAGCTCCATACAGACTGTATAATGCCCCGTGCAGTATCCCCCATACCTACTGTATGCCCCCACATTGGTTGAACGCCCCTACACAGCACAGCACATCCATTCCAACTGTAAGCCCCGCCCCATCTGTACACGGCCTGGCATCCCATGCCTGGTCTTTGACCAGTTTCTGTTTTATACTTCTGCCCCATTTCACAGTTGAGGAGGCAGACTCGGCGCAGGCAAGCGCTCCATTGGCCTAAGTGCCCTCTGGCTCAGTTAAATCCGGGGCCACCCAGTAAAGTGTTGGCTCCACAAGACACAAGATTGGGTCTCTCTGATTTGCCACTCCAGGGCCTGCTCCCAGTAGGGGCTCAATAAACACGTGTTCCACAAAACAATGGCTTCTGGATTCATAATTGTGAGATGTACAGGGATGATGAGTTCAAGTGTGTAGCTTTGGGGGCCACAAAGGGACCAGCTGGGGACAGTGCCAGGCAGGAATGTTGGCATGGGGGCTGCCGGCCCCAGTTCGCCCGTTGTCAAGAAACAGGCCACGTGGATTTTTATAGGAACTCTCCCCATGTTTAACTCTTGGTATTTAATTTTTCAAAAACGCAGCCTAAAATAAAGTACATCCACTGGTTGGAGAATTTGCAGCTCAAGTACTTCACAAACGGGTGTTTGGGGTCAACCATCTACCGGTTTTGCGGCCCCCCCGCTGGAAATTGACTTCCTTGTGCCTCAGTTTCCACACCTAGAGGATGGGGCGACATTGGACGCCCTTTCAGGGTTGAGAGGCGTGCGGCCCGGCGAGGGGCTGAGGGCGGGCCCAGGGTGAAGCCACAGGGGTTCCCCGCGTGGGGGCTGGGCAGGGGGCGGGGAGGGCTAAATCCGGCCGGCCGTTGAGTGGCGGGAGCAGCTGCCGCCCCGCCCGGCCTCTCCTCCCTGTTGGTCTCTTGGCAGCTGCTCCGCTGGGGCCGGTCTGACTGGTTTGGGCCGCCCCGCCCGGCTCCTTGGGAGGAGCCGCCGCCAGCCTGTCGGTCCTACGTCCCTCCCTCGGGACGCCCACGCGGCCAGACCCCTGGGCCGTAGGGGCGCGGGAGCAGGCGGGCGGCCGCAGGGATGGGGGGCGAGCAGCAGCATTACTACGGGAAGCACGGTAGGCAGCCCCCGTCCTGCACCCGAGCCCGGCCACTGGGAGGGAGCGGAGGGAATGCCGATCTCTGTAGCCACCCCCTACCGTGGCCTGCCAGCACCCCCCCACGTCTTACCCCCCGAAAGTCTCTCAGAGGTCCCTCCAAATCCCTTCAGTCGAAGGGCCCGTTGAAGCCCCCTCCGCAGTACTCCTGTGGGGCTTCCACCTGGGACTCTCCCCTTCCTGCCTAGCTCCCTGGGAGCCCCCATTCCAGTTCCCTCCCCAGTGGGTGGCCCCCAGCTGATAAATCCATTTAGCAGCTCCTCCCGCAGCCCCCGCCTGCTCTGCTGGGGGCTTCGGTGTGCCCTCTGCTGGAGTTTAGATGAGGCAGAAAATCCGCAGGGTCTCTGAAATTTACTCCTGGGGCCAAAGATACCCCTAGGAACCATCTGGGAGAAGGTGGTCTCCCAGCCCCTTGGCCCAGCCACCTCCGTTTTGCTGATTTTCAGGAACTCCACAGAAGTATGACCCCACCTTCAAAGGACCCATTTACAACAGGTAAGGGCTCTGGGTTCCTGTGGCGTGGAGGGGGTGTCTTTGCTAATATTGCCCCACCCCTGTTTCCTCATACTCCCCCATCAGTTCTCCAACAAGCTGGTGATCAATATTTGCAAATTGACGATAAAAGGACTAATTTCCGTAATTTACAGAGTTCTCACGAACTAGTTAAAAAAAAAAACAAACCAACTCAGGCAAAATACTGGAACAAGAAATAGACAATGAAGTTATGGAAAAATGTTCAGACTTACTGGAGAGTAAAGGAATGTAATTTAAAACAATAACCAGATAGAATTTCCTATCACAGATTAGCAAAGATAAAGTTATATTGACACATGTTCTGCTCTGAAAATAATCGTTGCTGTCTTTTAGAGGGAATTTGGAAATATCAAAATTTTAAATATGCAGCTTTTCCAAAAATTAAAATTCAAGGGAAAAAATCTTTATAAACCTTGCACACATGGACAAAAATGTATGAAATAGCTTTTTTAAAATCGCAAAAATCCAACTATCTGAATGTCCCTCCTGTGCAACTAGTTAGCTAAGTTGCAGTGGATCCTTAGGTTATAATATTACACAGTTAAAGTGTACAAGAGTCCTAAGTAGTGATATGGACCCTCAATATATTGGGCAAAAAAAGCAAGACACAAAACAATGAGTGTATCATATCATACTTAAGAAAAATAATTTGTTTTAACATTGGTACCTAATAAGTAACCCAAAGGACTCACAAGAAATCATTAACAGGCTACTTATGGGCAGGGGTGTGTGTGTTTGTGAGAAGGGGACATTTCTTTATAACATACATTCCCATTTTGTGTTTTTTTTTTTAAATAACTTTTTAAAAAGATTTTATTTATTTTTAGAGAGAGGGGAAGGGAGGGAGAGAGGGAGAGAGAGAGAGGGTGTGGTTGCCTCTTGTGTGACCCCTACTGAGGACCAGGCCTGCAACCCAGGCGTGTGCCCTGACTGGGAATCGAGCTGGCAACCCTTTGGTTCATAGGCCAGCACTCAATCCACCAGCCAAGGCAAAAGAGTTCAAATTTTTTAAAACATTAATATGTAATGTTGATAAAGATGCAGGAAAAAAGACACTCAATCGAAAGAATGTTGTACGTTGCTGCAACCTGTTTTGAGGATAGTGTAGTATTAGATATTAAAGCTTAAAATGTATGTACCCTTTGGCATAACATTTGCATAACTCAGGAGCATGTACCCAAATAACATATAGCTGTTAAGTGTGTGTGCAGGGTTCAATGGGTCTGGGAGGCCCTGGTTCCAATAGCTCGATTAGAGTAGTGTCCCCAGCCTTTTGGGCACCAGGGACAGATTTCATGGAAGACAGTTTTTCCCTGGACCAGGGGTAGGAGGGGGTCGGTTTCGGGATGATTTAAGTGCATTACATTCAAGCTCACCTTATGCTGTGCAGCCCAGTTCCCAGCAGGCACTGACCAGTACCAGTCCGTAGCCCAGAGGTTGGAGACAGCCTGGGTTAGACCTTTGTCTCTGCAATGCCAGGGTTATGGGTTTGATCCGCGATCAGGGTATGATACTCAGGACACCAAGGCATTCACCGTGACACTGTCCCTTGCTCCCAGGGGCTGCACAGACATCATTTGCTGTGTGTTCCTCCTCCTGGCCATCGTGGGCTACGTGGCTGTAGGGATCATAGGTGAGTGGAGGAGGGGACAGGACTCGGGGTTCTAGGGTGAGCGGGCAAGCCACAGTCTCTGGGAGAGGAGTAGGGCTGGCGCCGAGGAGTGGCAGGCAGTGCCTCAGCATCTCTGGATTCCTCCATAGCTTGGACCCATGGGGACCCTCGAAAGGTGATCTATCCCACTGATAGCCGAGGCCAGTTCTGTGGGCAGAAGGGCACGAAAAATGCGTAAGTCTGGCTTCTTGGGGCCTGATGGGTCTGGGGAGGAATGGGCAGGAGGGCTTTGTGAGCTCTGGGGAGAAGGATCTAGGCTTCTCCTGACTCCATCCGTTAGTCCAACAAATATTTCTAAAACTCCCGTCATCCTCAGCTGCTGTACTAGGCCTTGGGGACACAGCATTAAATGAGACATTACGAGTCTTGTCCTCTGGAGACCCATGTTTTATGGGAGAGACAGAGAGGAGACAGTATCGGATATGATGTCAGATGGTCATGAACAGCTGAGGTAAAAAAATGGAGGTTATACCACTCCCTGTAAAAGTGAGGGCTATGCCACTCCCTGGCTGTGTGACCTGGAGCAAGTGTCTCAACCTCTCTGGGCCCTATTTTCCTCATCTCCAAAATGGGCATTATAATAGTCCCATCCTAACACGGCTGCTGTGGTGGTTAGATGAGCTTATTATGTGTTCAGAACTTGGAACAGCACCTGACCATGGAGTTGCTGCTGCTGCAGTTATTATCGTTGTTCTCATTAAGATATTTTATGTAAGGTGGTTGAGTTTCCGCCTCCTTTCCCCAACCCCAGGAACAAACCCTTCCTGTTTTATTTCAACATTGTGAAGTGTGCCAGCCCCCTGGTCCTGCTGGAATTCCAGTGTCCCACCCCCCAGGTAACTTGTCCCCTCCCCATCCCTCCTCTGTGCCTCATTTCCATCACGAGGTCCTTTTTTCCCTGTAGTGATGGCTTCTCACCCAGCTTTTTCTTTTTCCCTGGTAAACGGGAGGTGGAGCTGTGTCTGAGTGGGGATCAGGTACCTGACCGCACCCAACCCTGCCTCCTGCCCCCGCCCCCAGATCTGCGTGGAGAAGTGCCCCAACCGATACCTCACCTACCTGAATGCTCGCGCTTCCCAGGACTGGGAGTACTACAAGCAGTTCTGCGTGCCTGGCTTCCAGGACAGCAAGGTGAGGGGGGCGCCTAGGCAGGGCCAGGTAGAGGGAGCTGGTCTGGGGGTTTAACTGCCCCATCTCTCAACAGGGTGTGGTTGAGGTGCTTCGGGATGGCGACTGCCCCGCGGTCCTCACTCCTAGCACACCCTGTGAGTCTGGAGTCCTGTGAGTTCAGGTGGGGTGTGGGGAGGTGTCCGGGGCTCAGCTTGACTGCTGTTCCATCCCCTGCTCCATGCAGTGGCCCAGCGGTGCTTCCCAGCCATCCACGCCCACAAGGGGGTCCTCATGGTGGGCAACGAGACAACCTATGAGGATGGGCACGGCGGTCGGAAAAACATCACTGAGCTGATTGAGGGCGCCAAGTGAGGACGGTGGCCCACCGCACTGGCATTGTGCTTTCCTGGGAGGGACAGGGCATCCCCTGGGGCTGGACTAATCAGGGAGAGGTCTGACCCTGCCCTGGACTGCCTTTCTCCAGGAAGGCCAATGGGGTGCTGGAGGCTCGGCAGCTAGCCATGCGGATATTTGAAGATTACACAGTCTCCTGGTACTGGATTGTCATGTAAGATGGAAGGGACGGTGGGCTTTCCTGGGATGGGCAGTCTGAAGCTGATGAGAGGGTGAGGCCCGCTCATGTCCCCATTTTATGCCCCAGAGGTCTGGTCATTGCTATGGTGATGAGCCTCCTGTTCGTCGTGCTGCTCCGCTTCCTGGCTGGCATTATGGTCTGGGTGATGATCGTCATGGTGATTCTGGTACTGGGCTACGGTACGTTTTCCCTTCCTTTCTGCTTCCCTCCCCATTGTTTGAAAAATGCTCATGCCCTTTGACCTGGCACTGGTCCATCAAGAATCTTCTAAGCCATCTGATCTCCTCTGTCCTTTACTTGGCAGATTTGTGAAGATGTTCATCTCGCTGTCATTTATGGCAGCAGACACTGGAAAACAATCTCAGTGCTCATTCTAGGGGGGGATGGGTTAAATCATAGTCTTCCAAACTAGGGCCTGGATCGGCTTTTTTTTTTTTTTTTTTAACGAGCTTTATCAGAAAAAAGCAAATCCTGGATCTGCATTTTATTGACACCAAATGGCATTCACAAGCAGCCTGCTCAAGACAGTGGCTATGGTTGCATGCTCTGTCACCAGAAAGCTGGGGGCTTCCAATGCTGGTTCTGCCAACTCCTCACTGTGACCTTGGGCAAGTGATCCAACCTCCCTTTGCCTCAATTTCTTCTTCTATGAAATGAGGATAATTAATATTTACTCATTAGGAGGCTTAATGAGAAGAAGAGCATATGTGGAGGAAATGGGAAAACTGAGGCCTGTGGAGTCTAGAGGTCAAGGTGAAAACCCAGTGCTATATATTCTGATTATTCATTTAAACTTTCCAGGAGGAAAGATGGCCTGATGTGCAACCTAATCAGAGGACACAGTTATTAAAATAGTCATGTCATTAGTGGTTATTCTAGCTGGATACTGGCATTTGAGGCAATTAGACTTTTTTTTTTTAACTTTATCTGATTTTTATAGTTTCTTCTATAAAGAGCTAAGAGGAATGCTGAAATTCCCTAATGCTGCCCACGGGATGTCAACACCCATGGGCTTCCTTCCTGCCCATGAATCATTGTTACAGTTGCAAGGGGGTCAGAGGAAAGCCTCAGGCCACCCAGCATTGAGACACTTAATCATTCATTCATTCATTCATTCATTCATCAAACATGTACTGAATACCTGCTGTCTTCTAGGCAGTTTACTAGGTGCTGGGCTTATACCAATGAATAAAACAGGACAAAACCTTGCTCCTGTGGAGCTTATATTCCTGGGTGTATGGGGAAGATGGTCAAGAAACAAACCAGAAAACCCTCTAAGATGTCAAAGCAGAGAAGAGGGATAAGGAGTGTGAGAGCATAACATTCTAAAAAGGGGAAGGGTTTCTGGAAGTTCTTGTGAGAAGGTGACATTTCAGCACAGGAGGATTTGAAGGATCTGATGGGGAAAGAATGTACCAGGAAGTGAGGACAGCAAATGCGAAGGCCCTGGCAGCAGCAAGCACCGGCAGCCCCTCTCGGCCTGTTTTTGCTTTTGTTAAATTGCAGTGGTTGTACCCGCTTTGCTACATTGGGGGAGTAGTCGGCAGGCTGTAGCATGGCGATTTCTCTGTGCAGGTATATTTCACTGCTACATGGAGTATGCCCGACTCCGTGGTGAAGCTGGCTCCGACATCTCCCTGGTGGACCTCGGCTTTCAGACAGACTTCCGTGTGTACCTGCATTTGCGGCAGACCTGGATGGCCTTCAGTGAGTCCCAACCCCCCATTTCTACCTCTGGTTAGGTCTGGGAGATAGTGGGGAACCCAGGCAGCTGGCAGACTCGGCCACCCTCTGCCCTCTGCAGTGATAATTCTGAGCATCCTTGAGGTTGTTATCATCTTGCTGCTCATCTTTCTACGGAAGAGAATTCTCATCGCCATTGCACTCATCAAAGAAGCCAGCAGGTGGGTGCCAGGGTGTTGGGCTAGGGTGATCCCAGGGCTGCTCAGGCCCTGATGCCCATGTCTCTGCTCCTCCCCAGGGCTGTGGGATATGTGATGTGTTCCTTGCTGTACCCACTGGTCACCTTCTTCCTGCTGTGCCTTTGCATCGCCTACTGGGCCAGCACTGCTGTGTATCCACTGTCAGACCCCGGTTCCTAATCCCATGGATGGCTAAAGACCACACTTGCCTGGAAGTGACCTGTGGCTTTGGGGAGGTCCAAAACTTGGTGGGGGAAGGGATCCTTTCCCACAAGCCCCGGGAGCACCCCCATCTCAGACCTTGGGTTCCTTAACAAGTCTCCAGCTTCCTGTCCACTTCCAACGAAGCCATTTATAAGATCTTCGATGATATCACCACCTGCCCAGTTATAGGGAAAACCTGCAACCCTGAGGTGGGTGTCCAGAGTTAGGGGGTGGCTATTTCCCCAGCAGCCCCTAGAGGGTCTGAAACCTTTCATTCCAACTTGAGGACCATTCAGCAAACATTTGGCGCCTGCTGTCTGCCCTGTGCTGGATATGAGGGACGTGGAGAAGAGATCCAACTTGGCAGCTTCCACACCCCTCTCTTAACCCAGTGATGGTCCGTTCTTCTAGAACTTCGTCTTTGCCTTCCATAAGCCCCTGTCCTTTCCATGTGGCCAGCCCGCTGACACATGACCCTACCCTGATCCCCAAGATAGCCTATGCTGCCTCATTGACACCCATTGAAGTTCATTCTGTAATCCCCTGGTCTTGTTTCTAGAGCCTCTTTTACAAGCCCCAGTCCTGAACCTCCAGTCCCCTGACTTAACCCTGATTCCCCTGACTCCTGTCTCACGAGCCCCTGGTACTGCTGACCCAGACCTGCTGCCGAGAGCCCACTCAGAGCCCCAGGTCCCCGTGGTGTGACTGGGCTCTGTATCCCTCCCACAGACCTTCCCCTCCTCCAATGAATCCCGCCTATGTCCTGGAGCCCACTGCCAGTTCGCCTTCTATGGTGGTGAGTCGGGTTACCACCGGGCCCTCCTGGGCCTGCAGATCTTCAATGCCTTCATGTTCTTCTGGCTGGCCAACTTTGTGCTGGCGCTAGGCCAGGTCACGCTAGCTGGCGCCTTCGCTTCGTACTACTGGGCCCTGCACAAGCCAGATGACCTGCCTGCCTTCCCGCTCTTCTCTTCCTTCAGCCGGGCGCTCAGGTGGGACCCCACGTGGGCTGGTGGTGGGGGTGAGATATGGTGGAGGAGACCTGGTCCAGCCACTGACCATGCCCTTGGCCTGCAGGTATCACACAGGCTCCCTGGCCTTTGGTGCCCTCATTCTGGCCATTGTACAGATCATCCGAGTGATACTAGAGTATTTGGATCAGCGCCTGAAAGGTGAGGCCCAGATGCTGTGGCCTTTGGCCTTAAGTTGGGGAGGCAGACTGAGGGGCAAATTGAAATTGGTTCTTGCTTGGGAGCAAGGCTAAAGGGATGGGACAGTGGTTGGTTTCTGATGATGGGGGGCCTGAAGGGCTTGGGTGATCGGTTCCTGCTATGGAGATGCTGCTGAGAGCCCATTGGGTAACGATCTGAGAGTGCAGGGCCAATAGGCTTGGGCCATTATTGGTTCCTGAAGAGAAAGGGTTGGGCTGGGATTTGTTCTGAGGAGGGTGGGACTAAGGTGTGGAGCTGGGATTAATTGAACTATGGGAGCCTGCAAGGTTTGGTGTCTGCCTGGGAGGCCGGGCCAGAGCAGTGGTGTGGGTTGTGATTGGTTCCTGTCTCAGAGGCTGGGCTGAAAAGCTTTGAGATTGGGTCTCTCGTTGGAGGCATCTCCCCCAAGTGTTCTGGACCACGGAGTCTCCTCTTGTCTCTGAGAAGGTGGGCTCTGGGAGTCCTACGCTGTGGCGAGTGTGCATAATGAGGATGTGGGGGTGTCCCCTCCCCTTCATACCCCTCCATTCTCTTCCAGCTGCGGACAACAAGTTTGCCAAGTTCCTCATGGTCTGTCTCAAATGCTGTTTCTGGTGTCTAGAGAAGTTCATCAAATTCCTCAACAGGAATGCCTACATCATGGTTTGTAGGCCTGGGAACCAACCCACCAGCTTCTACTGGGTGGGAGGAACCCTCATTCCCACCCAGGGGGCCTGATCCTTCCCTCCTACCTGCCTCCAGATTGCCATCTATGGTACAAACTTCTGCACCTCAGCCAAGAACGCCTTCTTCCTGCTGATGAGAAACATCATCAGGTCAGAGAAAATGCCATTCTCTTGCCACTTCCCACCTCCCCCAGTCCCTAAGTCAACGTTCACACCTGCTCCTCATGCCCCCTTGCAGAGTGGCTGTCCTGGACAAAGTTACTGACTTCCTCTTCCTGTTGGGCAAACTTCTGATTGTGGGTAGCGTGGGTGAGTGCTGCTTGCCCAGCCTGTCTGGCTGCGGGAATCTCCTGGGCTGTGGGGTCCCCGTGTCTTTTTTCTGCGATGGGTTGGATCTTTGTGGGGGACTACTTCCTTTAGCCGAAACCTCAACCATCTTGGTTTTGTCCCCCTCTCCAGGAATCCTGGCTTTCTTCTTCTTCACCCACCGTATTAGGATCATACAAGACACAGCACCGCCTCTCAATTATTACTGGGTCCCTATACTGGTATGGAACTTTGGGGATGGGCAGGTGTTCGGGAAGAAGGAGCTATTGGGACTCACCGGGCCCTCTTTGACTGGATAGCTATAGGTGGGGGTCAGAAGTAGGGGATTGGTTATTTATTCCCACAAACATTTCTTAAGCACCTACTATGTACCACGCGCAGAAAACTTACAGTTCAGATTGCAAACTGGTACATGCCAGGGGGCAGGATTTTAAGCCTGTGGAAATTTGGAGCCTGTGGGGGAAGAGTTTTGCAGGTCTGGAAGTCAAGGCAGTTTCACTGTGCAAGTGATATCAGACCTAAGGTCTGAAGGAGATGCAGGCAATAACCAGGCATAGGGAACAGGGACAGAGGCCCAAGGTGGCACCATACAGGCAGGAAACCAGTGAGGCTGGTGTGGAGGGAGATAAGGGCAGGGAGGTGAGAGGCCCTGGAGGGGTTAGGTCATCACCCCTAGGAAGCAGGAAACCTGAGTATAGGCCTTGGAGCTCTATGGCCTAGATTCCTATCTTAGTGCTCTTTGCTAGTTCTAGGATATGTAACTTTGGGCAAGTTATTTAATCTCTGTAAGGTCCACTGTCTTCAGTCGATAAATGTATATCAGGTACCTACCAAGGCCTTATGAGTCACTGAACTATTGGGGTTATTGCAATAATCGAGAAAGACACACTGTAGTGGAGATGTGGGCATTACACCTGTAATGCCCTAAACATGCGTGGAATTGCAGCCAGATGAAGATCTTAAAGGATAGGGTGCCCAGTACTAGGTTCTGGATGTCAGAGGCAGCTTCTTGGAGGAGGTGGTACCTGGGGACTTGATGTTTGAGCTTAAAGCAAATAATGAGGAAGCATAATAAACTAGACTAAGTCGGGGCACCAGCATATGCAAAGGCCCTGGGATTGAAGAGAGCAGAGAACTTCCTGTGGATCGGAGGGCCCTGCCCACAGAGGTCAGGAATTTGGCAGGTTGTTACTCTAAGGAGGGCTTATCAGCAGAGGAATGAGGATCCCTCCTTGCGAGGAGCAGGGTGGGTGGGAATTGCCCTGGGCAGCCTTGGGAGGGAAACATCTCCTGTCCCCTCATACAGACTGTGATCATCGGTTCCTACCTGATTGCCCATGGCTTCTTCAGTGTCTACGGCATGTGTGTGGACACGTTGTTCCTCTGCTTCTGTGAGTGACCGCTCACCCCGACGCTTGCTGGGCCCTGACTCCCTTCTCCCCTCTGGGCAGAACGTCTTCCCATGGGGCTACACGTGCACCTGCCTGATGCCCCCAGCTTCCCAGGGACTGGCTGTCCCTGATCCTAGGGCCCTGGCATGCCCTTTCAGCTTCCTCCCTGCGCTCAGAGCTCCTCCACCCTATTGTCCCCTGGTTTAGGCTGCAGCTGGAAGGCTCTGCCCCTGGGCCCTTGGCTTCCGAGTTTCCAGCTTCGTTGGGGGGAATCTGTGGCTGCCACTAACTCTGGTCTCTCAATCTATCTGTTTTTGTTTTTGTTTTCTCTTTTCTCTTCCTCTCCTCCATGCCTGCTGGCTTCCCTGTTCTTCCCTGCCTCCCTCTTCCCCTCCCTTCCTGACCACCCCATTTTCCCCCTGCCGGTGCCTGGGGGGAGCCCAGGTGAGGACCTGGAAAGGAATGACGGCTCTCAGGAGCGACCCTACTACATGTCGCCTGAGCTGAGAGACATCCTGTTGAAGGGGAGTGCGGAGGAGGGGAAGCGGGCAGAAGTCGAGGAGTAGGAGGCGTAGAGAAGGAGGGAGGCCAGCTTGCGGCCTGGCAGGCCTCCCTGTTTCTGCCCTGTAGACTGGGGGTGCATGCGGGGCTTCCTTGCCTGGGAGTGTGGGGAGCGTGCGTGTGTCCCATTCCCGAGCCCCCTGTAGCCTGCCCCTCTCCAGTCCCAGTGTGTCTTGCTTCCTAACCCTCTGAGGCTTCTGTGGCCCCCGCCCGCCCCGTCCCCAGAGGCCCTGCCTGTGAGCTCCCCTCATGCCATCTGCTCTGGGGTCTCTCTGCAGTGGAGGACCTGGAGAGGAATGACGGCTCGGCCGAGAGGCCTTACTTCATGTCTTCCAGTCTCAAGAAGCTTTTGAACAAGACGAACAAGAAGCTGGCGGAGTCTTAAAGGCCCCGCCTTCCCTCACCTCCCTGCAAAGCTTCACACTGGGTGCTGTGTAGCTGGGTCAGAACTGCCAGTCCATTGGGCTGGCCCGAAGTCCTGTCACTGCCACCCCGCCATCATCCAGTTACCACCAGTTTCTGGGGACCTGGAGGATTTGTGGCATCTCCTCCCTCTGCCAAGAGTCAGTCAGACTTTTCATGGTGGCCTCCGCAAGACTGAGCGACGATGAGTCAGTCCAGCCCTCACTGGCCCTGATGGGAAGAAGTCCCATGAAGGCTCTTGATGTGTCTGGCATGCGATGGGGTCCAGGCTCTGTGGGCTGCCTCAGCCTTCCTGTTCCCTCGTATGGTGGGATGGCATTTGTGTCGGGGAGCCATGGCCACAGTACACTGCAGCTCCTAAAGGACCTGGTTCACTGTATTTGCTCAAGCCCGGACTGAGCCCCTTCTCACAGCTGAACAACTGGCTCACAGGCCACCATGTACATTTCTTCATTATTTTTTTTAACTTGTCTATGCGTTAAAAGGTGTATTAGGTTTTCTTTCCCGTCTGTCTCAACAGCTGAGATGGGGCCACTGAGGAGTGCCTTCTGTTATCTGGTATGGCTGCAGTGGGGTATGGTGTGCGTGCCCAAGTGGGGGTGTCTTCTGGTGTGGGGGCAGCAGCGCACCCTGTTCGTTGATGGGGGATGAGGGAGTGAGACTCTTTGGGAGGCTGCTTTGAGCAGGAGGGAGGAGACCACTAACAGCGGCCTAATGGAAACCTGCTGGCTGGCTGGATTTTCTCCCCTTCCTCTGCCAGTTATTGACACAGCTCTCTTTGTAAGAGAGAAAAGAAACTGAATCCACCCAAGGGACAATTTCAGGGGAAGGGGTGCAGGGCAGACGCCATGTGCGTACCGGGCCTCCCTGCCTGGTCACCTCATCTTGAGGATCCTTTTGCCAAATTTGTTGAACTCAGGACCTGGTTTCCTGGTTCCTTCTCCATATCTTAAGGCCCCCGACTTCATGTCTTTGTTCATCAGCACCGTTCTAGGATCCTGGAGAGGGAGAAATTCCCACCTGGGGTCTCCATGTCCTGTGCCTGTTGCCGGCCCTCCCTCCCGTGTTCTCTCCACACACCCCTGCGTGTAACTGCATTCCAACCACTAATAAAGTGCCTATTGTAACAGCATCTGGGCCTTGAGTATTTGTGGGGTCACTGGGAGGCTGGTAGGGAGAACCCCAGCTTTGACTGCCCTGGGATTCTCTGAGTTGGGGTGACTGTGCCCACGGGAAGGCAGGCCAGGAAGCCCTGTCTGCTGGCCCGTGTGTCTGCCTGAATTCCACCCCACCTTGCAAGTGGCTCAGGTTTCTCCTGAACAAATATCCCTTATTAGGTTCTGGTGCCTAGACTCCAGAAGGCAGCCATGGGCCATCCACCTCCCACCCCACCCTCTCAGTCACATGGCCTGGACACGTGGCCCCGCCTGCTTTGTCTCCTGGCCCAGGCACCTGAGGTGCACAGTTGGGTCTAAGTGATTAGGACCTGGAAAGTTGCACCTTGCCTGGCTGCCTGGAGGCTCACTGCCGCCCCCTGGTGCCAGCTGTCACTGTCATTTCGCGGAGTACCTCACCATGTTAATTGCCTTTCCCTGCCCCACTGTGTGTCCCCTTCCCTGAAATTTTTTAATAAGCCACTTTTTTTTAGCACTTCCTATTTGTGTACCATACCTTCTATTGCTCTCCCAATTAATTAAGGGGGAAAAGGAGTGATGTCTAAATATTGCCCAGCCAGCAGGAAAGGGGCCAAGGAGGCATCTGAATCCAGGTTTCCTTCACCCCACAAGCTACACCCGTACCTGTGCTGATGCTCTCTGGGTTCCCTTGTTCACCCCCAGCCCTCAAGTATGTTTTTTCCTTACCTCAGCTCCTGTTTGCCTCCAGCATATTTCCTAAACCTGCCCACTTCTCCCTCTATCTTCAGCTCCCAGCCCTCATTCTCACTCACCTGGACTAGTACAGTCCCTCACCCTGGTCCCTAGCTCATGCCATCATGCCCCTGCCTCCACTGTGTCTCCCACAGGTGCAAAAGGAGACCTGTGAACAACTGAGTGCACTTCTCTGCTCAAGAATGCTCCGTGGCTCCCATCTTACTCAGGGTGCAAGCCAAAGTCCTCCTTGCAGCCCACGAGGCCGGCCGTCCCATCATCACCAACTACTCAGGCCCCAGGGCTTGTGCCTGAACTGCCGCCCCCGCCTCCCTCCTTGAATGGCTAGCTCCTCCTCCTTCCACTTTCAGCTTAGGGATCATCTCCTCAGGAAGCCTTCCCTGCTCATCTAAAGTTGGCCTCTCTTGGTGACAACCATGTCACCCTGTTTATTTTTTTCAGAGCACTTGTCACAATCTGCAATTACTAATTTGTGTTTTCACTTACTAAATGGTCAGCCTTCTCATCCAGAGTGTCAGCTCAAAGGGGAGCCTCCTCTTTACCACCTTTGTTTGGGATGGCTAACGTTCATTTCTGTGATTTGTAACTCTGAAATGTCCAGATCCACAATGACCCAGGATCAGGCCAGGCCAGGGCGAGAGGGACCACTGTCCTTTTATTTTATTTTATATATATTTTAAATACTTTATTTATTTGTTTATTTTAGAGAAGGGAAGAAAGGTAGAGAGAGAAACATCAAAGTGTAGTTGTCTCTCGTGTGTCCCCTACTGGGGACCTGGCCTGCAACCCAGGCATGTGCTCTAGGCTGGGAATCGAACCTGCAAACCTTTGGTTCGCAGGCCAGGACTCAATCCACTGAGTCACACCAGCCAGGGCAGCAGTGGGGTTCTGATTGGCCAGACTCAGGGTGAAGGCTGGGAGGCAGGAATAAAGCCGGGGAGAGGTGGCTTCCCCAAGGCAAGCCTCAGTTGTCAGAACGAGAAGACCCAGCTGCTTTGGGGTAAGATAGCAAGAACCAGGGCAAGAGCAAGAGTCCTGGCAGATGAAGATGATGACCTTAAGGTGGTTGGGGTCCCACACGTGTCCCAAATAATAGCATCACTGTGTCTGGCTCTGTATTTTTCCCACACAAGCCTCAGCATTCTGAGGCTCCAATGATGGGGCTACAACTTAGCTTCACTTTCACTCCACTTTTAATTTTAAAAATTGTCATAAAATACACGTAAAATGTACCACCTTAACTATTTTTTAGCGCCCAGTTCATTAAGTACCTTCACAATGTTGTGCAAACATCACTGCCATCCAGCTCCAGGACTCTCTTCATCTCCCCCAGTACAAACTGTGTCCCCATTAAACAACTTATCATCCCCTCTCCCCCTGCCACCCACCATTCTTACTGTCTCTGTGAATTTGACTCCTCCAGGGATCTCGTATAAGTGGAATCCTGCAGTAGTTGTGCTTTTGTGACTGACTGACTTCGCTTAGCATATGCCTTCAAGGTCCATCCATGCTGTAGCATGTGTCAGGCTTTCCTTCCTTTTGAAGGTTAAATAATAACTGCATTGTATGAATACACATTATTTATCCATTCATCCTTTTATGGACACTTGAATAGTTTCCACTTTTTGTTTATTGTGAATAATGCTATGCACATGGGTGTGCAAATCTCTCTTCCAGACTCCGCTTTCAATTGCTGGATCATATGGTTATTTTACATTTAATTTTTTGAGGAAACAGTACTTTTTCTTGCTCCATCTTTTCACTCAGCTTTCCTCTGGACTGGTTTCATCCTCTGTCAATTTCTGTCATTAAAGAACACACCCCACCCCCTAGCCACACCTTCTATTTCCCTGGTTTCAAGACCTGAGAAAGGAGGGCTTCTCTTGCTCCACAGTTCCAAGACCTGGTGCCCACTGGCTCTGATTGGCCCAATTTTGTCCTCTACTACAAAGCTAATTACTGTGGCCAGGTGATGGGCCTCATTTTGGAGTCAAGCCGTGGGGATCTGCTTATGGAACTCCAGAGTGAGAAAGGTAGAGGGGTGGTTCCCCACAGCACTGTGGTCAGCCCATGTCCACTCTGTTGAGATGGTGGGAAGGTTAGCTGCATGGCTCAAAGCTTTCAAGGGGAGTTTTTGGGTATAATCAGGGAAGTCAGCAGGAGAAATATATGAAGATGAAGAAGACAAGTGGATGATGTTCATGAGGACATTGAAGTCCTGAGGATGGCAGAACCTGTTTAGAGGGAGTGCAAACGAGGGACAGACTTTAATCTTCAACCAGTGAGGGGGAGGGTGTAATGGGGAGAAGAGGGGTATAGCCAGATGACAGGGCATGTCAGCTCAGGCAAGGAAGTGAGAGAATGGTTATGCATACAAGGATTGTTAACTATGTTGTAGTGGAAAAGCTAACGTAAGAGGCTGGGTCAGGGTGGAGATACAGTGGTAAGAGAGGGCAGGTGGCTTCTGGGATCTCCATTTTGTATGGTAACCAAGGAGACCACAGATAAAGAGTGTGATAGATGTAGCATGTCAGAAAGTTTGGCTGAAAATCTCTTTGCCCAGGAGCTTCTGGTGGGCAGAGTAGTTGTGGGCCCAGATAGACTACAGTTTTAAGGGAGTTTTGGTTTCCTCCACACTTTCACTGGAGCCCAAGGGAGCCTCTCAATTAAAAATCCCAGGTTCAATGGGGGCACAAATCCAGTAGTAACAATCACATTAACTGTTTCTCCTGCACTCATTCCAAGTTGGCTACTCCAGCAAACTTTTGAGGTTGAAAAACACTCCGGATCCATCCAGGGCTCCTCTGTGGAGGCTGCTGTTGGGAATTAGGATCCTATCTGCCCCTTTCTTCACTTGGAGTCCCTTCTATATGGGCTTCTTTGGAGGAATAAGGTTCTCAAAAGCAAGTTCTTTAGAAATGTAACCTTGGGTTCTTTCCAAGAAACGTGGTCTTTGGGTCGGAAAACTAGAAACGTTCCCTGATCTACCACGTGGTAGCGCTGTTAGCTTAGTCAAATTGCCTTGCTTCTGAGCCTGTTCCGCTAGCGTCGACACACTACTGATCTCTAGCTGGAGTGTTAAAGCCTGTTATCACTTTTATTATCAGTGACCTGAAACAATCTAAACTTAATCGTCTGGATACAAACGCTATTAATTTTGTCAAACCTTTCTTTAACTTCAAGCTCTATTAAAGAAATATTTCCAAGGTGGGACGGGGAAGACGAATCGTTATCCTTTATGAGAACAACAACAGTAAAAATACAATTACACATTGCTAGGAGTAAAACATCTCTGGAGAGAGATACAAGAGAACTTTACAATGACTGCCAAGGTTGTCGGGGTAGGAAGATTGACTTTGCCCTCTCACATCCTTTTGCACATTTGACATTTTATATTACGTGAATATGTTATTGTTTCAAAACCCTAAGTGTAAATAAAAAAGCAGTAGATACAGCATGCACCTAATTCTGTAATCGTATTTTTACACCCTATCTTTTAATAATAGTTACTACTTTGGGGCATTTGTTGTGAACAAAAAAATCGTGCCAAGTGCTTTTTAAAGCACTATCTCACCATTTAGCAGATAAAAAAACGGAGGCTCAGTCTTTGGTGACACCAGGACTCAAACCTAGGGCAGACACTGGATCCTGCATTCTTAAAAAATTAACCGTACCGTCCCTATGTTTTAGCAAGCAAGACCCACTATTAAAGTTCCAAGTCTTGGACAACTTCTCATCTCCTTCGGGAAGAAAGCCTTATTCAACAAATCCTTGCTCCGGATCTCGGAAGCGTCTGAACCCCCACCTCGAATCCGTCAACCTACCTAGCAACGACGTCTGTACAGCCCCAGCCTGATCCTGACACTGGAGGGGTGTGGGGCTTAGTTTAAATACAGATCGTACATCAAGGATCTCACAAGGCACCCGGGAGGATTCCCCGACACGAGGCTTCTAAAAAGAAAAAGTGTTCGGTTTCAGGACCTTTATTTACGAGACCAACGATGGTGGCCAAGCATCTCAGCGCCGGTTCCCCCCAGAACGGACCGTTAATCCTGAAGACAGGTGATTTTCGCGCATAGTCTCAGTTTCTCCATCTTTTAAAGATGTGCTGAAAAATCCGACCAGCTCGGCTCTGCACTTCGGAGTCTTTCAGCATTGCCATCTCGAACTGGCACCTCAAGTGTTCTCCGCCTTTTGTGGTGATGCGGGGAGTGGGTTGGAAGCTCATCGGGAAGCC